GTTCTGCCATAATGTGTGCACTCTTCTTCTGTGTTTGGTCGCGGGATGTAAACAGCGAGCGCTACTGCCCCCAGCACATCCTGTAGTGCACTGCAGTTATAGATGAGCATGAGGCGCCGGCATGTGATTCTTAACAACAATAACACGACGCGTCGACGCTTAATTTTCATGTCGATTAATTTGTCGTGTCAACGTAATGGATTACGTCGACTAATCGTTGCAGCCCTAGTTACAAACCGGCCAAAGACGCAAATTAGTCTTAGATTTACTGCATCAAATGTTATAAATCATCTGGTACCAAAGTCAGTCAGATAGCCATCCGTTTAAGTCCAGATCACATCACGTCAATAACTGTGAAACTCAGCTTTCATGGTTTATGCCTGTGCAGCCAGCGTGAAAGAGTGACATTTGAAAGAGTGCAAACCAAACACAATATTTAACACAGTAACTTCAAGACATCATGGCATGATCCAAAACCTACTGTTAGACCTCAATCTATTCAGCTGATGTGGCGCTTACAGTTAGAGTCCCATTTATAAATAAAATGATGTTTAATCAAAATTATCATAAGCCAACAAACAGGAAACCTGATGCCAGGTTGTTCTCCAGAATAGAAGCACTGATCACTCACGAAGTAAATAATAAAGAGGCCATTTATAGTCCACTGTGTTTTCTGTTCCACACTGGGACACGACTGCATGGGCGCGTTTTCAAAAGGGGCACAGCAGCACATTTTTTTACCCTGGTGCTGGGTGTGTCCCTTACACTCCTGTTAGACTGCTTCTCAAATGATATAAGAGTCAAAGAAAGGCTCTTTCAACTCTTACTGTACATAGTAGACTCAGGGGTGGCTCGTGATATAAATAGCTATACGTTACGATCAGATCTGAATTGAAGGGTTGATGAGTATTTATATCTTTCATATCAAAGATGGCTGTTTTTAAGTGCCATCTGTCATGATGAGAGCACAGCAAACACATCTCAGCCAGAGCCAGACTGACGCAGTAACAGAGAGTCATTGTTCATGGCTGCTCTTTGGTGACATCTGTCGGTGGAGAAGTGAACTAACTCTCAGGTTAACTGCTGCAGCAACCCTGTGAAACCATCAGAAAGTGACTTAAGCTGTTGTATAATCAACACCAGTGGTCAAGTTACTAATCCAATAACCAGCTTTAGTACAAGATTTCGAAATTTTAACAATAATGGATTTTCACTTAACCTTCCTCCTGTGTTTGCTTTTACTATGCAACCACTATGTTAAGGGTGGGTTTGGACCCGTGTCTTAAATCAGCTGTAAATTACACTAAAAGCAATTCTCTATCATCCAATTTGGTTCTCATCTCTAGGTTACCCTGTTAGGCTTCATTATCCATGAAAATATTGCTTATGCAAAAACATACTTTTGTTGTGATACTGAATTGATCTCACATGTCTGGACATGCACGACGTTGTTTTTTGTGCTGGGAAAAACAGGCAAAATGAGAGTTTCCTCAATCTCACATGACTGGAAGAGGATCTGACTGTCAGTGTGTTTCCTGACAGTGCACTTATGACTTTCGTTTTTGCTGTGATAATGAGATATTAATCTCACCGGGTCAACAGCGACCCTAACATGACAAGTGCAATTAAATTTTTTTTTTTATTATTTTGTTGAAATTGAGGTTCCAGACAAAGTCAAAAAGTCTTGATGCAAAAAAGCTAATTTAAGTGGTTCTTTTAAGCATTTAACATCAAAAACGGACCCTAACACAGGAGGAGGGTTAATAAAAGGTCAATAAAACTGAATACTAGTCATATGCTGCCGAATAGTGAGAGTATTTTATATTTTATGTTATTTTACATTCAGTCAGAAGTAGTAGCAGGATCATGGATGTGCTAAAAGACTATTAAATTCTTCTTGTGTTAGATTTTTTGTTTGTTCATTCCAGTGAACCAAACACTGAACTTGTTCACATTTTATTTGACGTCATCAAATTCTCTCATATTTGCATTATTAATCATATCCAAGGGCAAAAAGAAAACACTTTTTTTGTTATCGTAAAGGTTAGGAATCAGAGTTTTTAGCCATTTCAATACCACCAAAACTGATTTTTAGAGCAGGAATTACCAAAAAGTCCAAAAACACTACAGATGTGTGTAGCAGGACTTTGATTTTTTTTCTGTCCTCTTGCTTATCAAAATATTTTTGTTTTGATTTGCTCTTAGACCCAAAGATGGTTTTAGAAGTAAGAACAATCAGTTAATTTTTGCCTGATAATGCATCTGTATTTGCAGAATCTTAACATGTAGGTTTATTTATCTTTTACGGCTGTAATTATATATTTTTTTCCATGTCTGTTTTCCCTGCATGCTGTCAAGCTAAGTGGCAAAACCTTTTCTGACTGACTAAAAACCACCTGGTGCCCAAATTCTATAATCCTGTTCCACCTGTGTGCCAATCAGACACACCTGTGCCCACGGCCTGTTGTTTGTCCACGTGTTCATTGCATGAAGAGGTAAGTTTTTTTTCTTTGTGACTAATAATTTCGCTGTTCCAGTCGCGTTCAAAGAGACCTAACTTTAGCTCAGCTTTGGCACATTATCATTGGCGACCTGCTGAAACGCAGTGAATCATCTGATGGAAATAACCATCTCCAAAGATCTCAAAATCCCACGCAGCAGTGGCGCCTTGACGCACATTAAATTTATCCTAGAAACACTTCACGACCTGGTGTGGGTCAGTTTACAGCCAGCAGATGAGGAAGTAAGAAAAGGAAGAAGGAAAAGTGGTGGAAAGGGGACAGAGATACGCACACAGGCCTACCCAAGAAGCAGAGAGAACTTCCACAACGAACTTCTGGTTGAAATGAGGCAACAGCACCGCTCAAAAATGGGCGAGTTAGTTTTGATTCTTGCAAAATAAGAGCGCCAGGTGTTTCTAGTTCCTTACCTTACTTTGGTGGTCGCCATTGTTGGTACACAACTTATCCTGGAGTGATTTTCAGTCTGGCTGGGTCTCATATGAACCGGTATGTTGTTTTTATCCTCCGGTGTTTCCTCTTAATCCACACTTGTCGGTTTTTTGGTGCTAATCCACTCCCAACCCACCATGGAGGACTCATGGTAGGCGCCAAGACCCAATACAGGTGAGGGACGGAAGAAGCACTTCCTGTCTTCTATCAGGGTTTTGACTTTTAATATAATTATTAATTATAGTTGCGTTATTTGGGTAACTTTAAGCACGTGTGAAGTTAGGCCCTTTCCCATATTAAAAGAACCCCCCCCCCCACACACACACTTTTTTTTTTTGCTTTTGTTTTGCTTTTGTTTTTGTTTTTTTTGTTGTTGTTGTTTTTTTCTTTCTTTTTTCTCTTTTTTTCTTTTTTCATTTCCCTTTTTCTTTTCTTTTTCTTTTTTAAATTTTTCTTTTCTTTTTTTCTTTTCTTTTTCTTTTAAATTTTTCTTTTCTTTTTCTTTTGTTCTTTTTTAACTATTTTCTTTTTCTTTCCTTTTTCTTTTTTAACTATTTTCTTTTTCTGTCCTTTTTCTTTTTTAACTATTTTCTTTTTCTTTCCTTTTTCTTTTTTCTTTTAAAATTTTTTTTTTCTTTTTAAAATTTTTCTTTTCTTTTTTTTTTTTTACATTTTTTACTTTTCTTCTTCATTCCTATTCCCTTTTTTCATTTTTTCATTTTTTTTCCCTTTTCTTATTTTCCTTTTTTATTTACAAAAAAACATTTCCAATCAAAAAAATATTTTTTATTTTTTGCATGTATGAGTGATGCTTTCTGCATGATCAAATATATAGTGTTGTAAAGATAAAATAAGATAAAACGAAGTAAAAACATTTTAGTGTTGCTGCCGATGTAGGCCTGATATGTCAAAGCTCCGCTACTGGAATTTGTGTTTTGTTTTTAAATGTATAAGTATATATTATATATTGGTAGCCGCATGTTAGCAGCTAACCTGCAGCACACTGTTCACTGTTTCCCACGTGATTGACTATTTACTCCCCCCCCACACACACACCCCTCTCCCTCTGTTGTGCACCCACTGCTGACAGGTCCTCCCCAGAGCTCCCCCTGCTGGCAAATTCTGTCACCGACTCCCTCTGCCACAGGTTTTCATGACATTTTTTCCCTACTCCCTAATAATTACAGTAGTATCCAACTTCTCACTATTCCTGTCCATATCACCAACAGACACCACTCTAATAGATACACCACCCGGACCGTCAATCACTCTGTTTTAACAAGCCCATCCATACTGGCTCCCATCCTCTCCAAACATGACAATACCTCTGTCAGCTTCGGACTCCTCAACATCCGCTCACTCACCAACAAGGGACACATCATCCACGATCTCCTCACTGACCGCAAGCTGGACTTCCTCTGCATCACTGAAACATGGCAACAAACAAATGACTTCTCATCACTCAACGACTCCACCCCCCCGGACTACACCTACCTCTCCCACCCCCGCAGCCACGGCCGTGGTGGAGGTATCGCCGTCATCCACCACAAAAAGTGGAAAGTTCTACCGCTGTCCTTGCCTCTTTTCTCCTCACACGAACTTCTGGCAATTACACTCCCTGGTCCCACTCCCACCATCATCGCCACCATCTACCGCCCCCCCCAGCCTCACTCTGACTTCTTAAATGACTTTTCGGTTCTACTCACCCATCTATGCACACTCTCACCAAACATAATAATACTGGGGGACTTCAATATCCATATTGACAACACCAACCTCCCCCTCACCAGAGACTTCTCATCCTGCCTGGACAGTTTTGGACTCCATCAATTCATCAACTTCCCGACACACACTAAAGGACACACTCTGGATTTACTCTGCTGCTCTGGCCTCATCCCATCCAACTGCACAGCTGATGATCTCCACGTAAGTGACCACCTCCTCATCTCCTTCAGTATTCCGCTCTCCCTCTCTAGAGTTTATTCACCACGCCTCATTACATTCCGCAACCTTAAGAACATAAACATTGACACTCTGCGCTCTAAGATTATGAATATTGTGATCCCGGACTGTTACACTACCCCTGATGACATAACATCTCATTACAACACCTGTTTAAATAGCATCCTCAATTCCCTCGCTCCACTCAAAACACGCTCTGTTTCCTTCTCCACAACTGCACCCTGGTACACCCCCCACCTCCGCTCCATGAAAACCAAAGGCCGCCAACTGGAAAGACTTTACAAGAAAACTGGACTCTCCATTCACAAAGAAATGTACATTAACCACATTCGCTGCTACAAGGACTCAATTTCTCACGCAAAAACAGACCACTACTCCGCCCAGATCATCTCCAACAAAGGAAACACCAGATCACTATTCACTCTCCTCAACAAATCTCTCCAGCCACCGGACTCCCTCCCTCCCCACCTGTATTCAACCGACACCTGCAACACCCTAATGCAGTTTTTTAATGACAAAATCTCCAACATCCATAAACAACTACACTCAGGTTCTCTTCCCCCTGGACCCCCTTCAAACTCACCTACTCCCCTGCCACACCACCAGCCCTTCTCCAGTTTTCTCCCCAATGACTCTGAAATCTATGATCTCATCCAGAAATCCAAACCCTCAACCTGTCAGCTGGATCCCCTTCCCACCACACTGCTCAAATCATGCCTCCCATCTGTGCTCCCTCTCATATCTGCCATCATTCACTCCTCACTCACCACTGGAACTGTTCCCGCATCCCTCAAGACAGCAGCCATCACCCCTATCCTTAAAAAACCTGGCTCTGACCCCAATAACTTCAACAACCTCCGCCCCATCTCAAATCTACCGTTTATAGCCAAAATAATGGAAAAGGTCGTCGCCAGCCAACTTCACACCCACCTAACCCAGAACTCCCTCTATGACCCCTTCCAATCTGGTTTCCGCCCCCGCCACAGCACCGAAACCGCACTGCTAAAAATTACTAACGACCTTCTCACTGCATCTGACTCTGGTTCACTTTCCATCCTCATCCTCCTCGACCTTAGTGCAGCCTTCGACACTATCTCCCATCCCATCCTCCTTCATAGACTCTCCTCCATCGGCATCACCCACACTCCCCTCCGCTGGTTCCACTCTTACCTCTCAGACCGCACACAGTTCATCCAGCTCAAATCATTCAAGTCCGACCCCTCCCCAGTCAGTTCAGGTGTGCCCCAGGGCTCTGTCCTGGGGCCCCTGCTGTTCATCATCTACCTCCTCCCCCTTGGTTCCATCTTCCATAAATTCAACATTCAATACCACTGCTACGCTGACGACACCCAGCTCTACCTCTCCAGCTCACCAAACTCCACCCTCCCACCCACCTCCCTCATCACCTGCCTATCTGAAATTAAATCCTGGTTCACCTCCAACTTTCTCCAATTAAACAGTCAGAAAACAGAAATTCTTCTTGTAGGTTCCAAATCCACCCTATCCAAAGTTGACAGTCTCTCCCTTCCCATCGACAGTTCCTCAGTTTCCCCCTCCCCTCAGGTCAAGAGTCTGGGTGTCGTCCTTGACAGTTCTCTTTCTTTTAAATCCCACATCAGCCTTACCACTCGCACTGCCTATTTCCACCTCCGCCACATCAATCGTCTCCGCCCCTCCCTCTCCCCCAACACCACCTCCATCCTCGTCCACAGTCTCATCACCTCCCGTCTGGATTACTGCAACTCCCTCCTCTTCGGTCTCCCTTACACGTCTCTCCATAAACTTCAACTGGTCCACAACTCCACTGCCCGTATCATCACCAAAACCCCTTCGTCCCACCACATCACCCCCATCCTTCAGCAGCTTCACTGGCTCCCGGTCCCTCTACGAATCCAGTTCAAAATTCTCCTGTATACCTTCAAAGCCATCCACAACCTCGCCCCTCCTTACCTATCTGACCTCCTCCACATCGCCACTCCAGCACGCCACCTCCGTTCCTCTTCCTCTCTCCACCTCTCTGTGCCCCCTGTTCACCTCAGCACTATGGGGGGCAGAGCTTTCAGTCGCTCTGCCCCCCGACTCTGGAACTCTTTACCATCATACATCCGCAACATAGACTCCCTCCCCCTCTTCAAGTCCAAACTCAAAACACACCTGTTTAAACTGGCCTATCCCTCCCACCACCCCTAACCCACTTTTTTAAATTAAATTTCAATTGGTATTATTAATTTCTTTATTTATTCCTTTGCTGTTGTTCATGTTTAATGTTGCTTTGTTGATTTTTAACTGTTTGATGATTAATGATTTTAATTGTTAATAGTGTTTTATTATTGTTTTTATATGTTCTGTAAAGTGTCCTTGTGTGACGTGAAAGGCGCTTCAAATAAAATGTATTATTATTATTATTATTATTATATTTTTTGTTAATTTGGTTTATTGGGTTTAACTATGATCATATATCTACATTATAGCAGATTTAATAGTATTAAGCTTCTAACTATCTACACTCTCAAGTGAAATTTCTAACATCTGTACATGTAACTTCTGCTGCAGGATCCTTCAATCATTCGAATGGCCAAGTGGAAGAAACCTGGATGGAAGTTTTACTTCCTCTGCGTCTTCATCCTCTCCGTTGTGGTTCTCATCTTCTCTGGGACAAACAGGGCTGCCCTAGACCCGTTTCGAATCCTGCGTCAGGTGCCAAACACATGCCCCCAGCGGATATCTGACCAGACCATCACCCCTCTCAGCGATACAAAGCATTTGCTGGTGTCAGCATACATGGACCAGAGGGTGAAAGGCTCGGGTATACGCATTATAAGCATTTTCAGAAGAGACTCCATCCAACCCCTTGACTGTCTTTTCTGCTGCATGGGGGTTTTGTCCGGTGCAACTACTCAAGCAAAAATTAAAGAGCACTCTGACAACTTTGGGTTCCCATTTGTCACTACGGACGTCTTGTGTCAGATTCCACAAAACTGTAACGCCACACATGTCAGTCTTCTTCCTATGACTCGTTTGATGGGATCATCGCTGACTTGGCTTCCCATAAGAAATAAGAAGAGTAGTGGGGAGGACGAAAAAAAGACACGGTTTGATTTTACCGTCTGCATCTCCAACCTGTTTGAATTCGACAACGTACTGCAGTATGCACAGGCCCTGGAGATGTACAGGTCAGCACCTTTCTCAGTATGCATCTCCTGCAAGAGCAAGACATGATTACGGTGATAACGCCACAAACCACAAGAGCATTACATGGCCAAATAGAGTGATTTAGGGCATCCACAATGCTGCATGTTAAAACGGCTGATGGGTGGCATGGATAGTATTATCATGGTTTATGCAAATAAATGGCAGGATGTGGGGTTTTCAGTGCAATTTGTGTTGCATTTACTCTTGCTGAACACTAAGTAGACACATGACAACTCGAATTTTGTGAGACAGGGACTCCACTAGACCTATGAATGTGTGCTGATGTGTCAAGCTCCAAAACGTTAACTGCAGATCCTTTAATGGGATATTCCAGCGTAAAATTAAGTTAGGGTCGCAACACAGCCCCTCGAGAGATGAATGTTGCCAACTGCTTGCTTCTCTAATTATACCAACTTTAGTAATGATCGCAGAATAGCAATACAGAGAGACATGCGCTCAACCAAAACGCCACTCTTTAGCCACAAATAATGCTCAGAACAGCACCTAACTTCATCAACAGTACATATAGGGTCCCAGCCACAGCACTAGTCACCAAACATCTTTTTAACTTTGCCTGATTTCTTTAGCAAAGAGACTAAACACAACTCACCTACTCTCTTCCAGCAGCCGCTTGTTTGTAGTGAGACCTCAGGTGAGTCCATCGACTGCAGCGGGGTGACGCAGCTCAAGGAAGAACATTTATGATCATTTCTTCATGGAAATGCAATCACACCGAGACGTTAAGGCAAAAGAACTACTGCGTCTGCAGTGCAAAATGATTAATATGGTGATTATTACTTGACAAAGAAATGATCATAAATGTTCTTACTTGAGCTGCCTCCCCCCACTGCAGTCGATGGACTCGCCCGAGGTCTCGCTACAAACAAGCAGCTGCTGGAAGAGAGTAGGTGAGTTGTGTTAAGTCTCTGTAAAGTGGTGTTTTGCTATCGTGCGGTCATTGCTAAAGTTGGTATAACTAGAGAAGCAAGCGGTTGGCAACATTCATCTCTCGAGGGGGTGTCTAACTTAGTGTATGGTGTGTTTGACCCTAAATTTATTTTACGCTGGAATATCCCTTTAAGTCCCCTAAGTTGTGAGGTGGGGCCTCTCTTCATAGATGCTTGGCTGCTTGAACCTCTGTTTTTCTTCCTCTACACATTCGTTCATCTCTCACCCCTCTCTCTTTTGGCTGTGGGGGAGGCAGGTGTTGTACATTTTAGCTGAACTTGCATGCTGTACATTTATTGTATCCGCATCAAAGTTAGAGCGGACGATGATGTTTATTGTGTCCCACTGAGTCTTTGCCAGGTTTACCAGTGGCCCCACAGTTCAGAGAATTCTGGTGGCACAGCCTCTTTCAGTCCCGTCCATCACAATGCAGAAGCCCACCAGTTACACACACTCATATCAGTGCGCAATTTATATAGATCAGATCTGCTTTGTTCACAGCTTAATTTCCCAAAGTACCATCTGGTTGCCTTTTAATTCCGTTGTGACAAACCCCGAGACCAAGAAATGGCCTGTCAGGTTAGCACTTAAGCTCGGGGTTTTCTTGTCAGGCTGTAAATTTGCTTTGACTCAACCTGAAATCATTTTTGTGAACTTTAACGGTGTCGTGCCTCTTTGCTCCAGGCTGCTGGGTGTGGACAGGGTAGTGATCTACAACACCAGCTGCGGTCCAGACCTCAACCGCTTGCTGAAAAGCTACAGCCTGGAGGGCTTTGTGGAGCTGGTGCCCTGGCCCATCAACACGCACCGCAATTCATCTCGAGGCCGGCTGTTCTCAACGCACAGAGGGGATGTGTACTACTTCGGCCAGTTGGCGATGCTAAACGAGTGCGTTTACAGATCCATGGACCGCTCTCGCTACGTCCTGCTGCACGACATCAACGAGATTATGATGCCCTACCAACATGATAGCCTTAAAGCTCTAATGGACACGCTCCAAAAAGAACATCCCAGAGTAGGTACTCGGTTTGATTCCATGTTTGATGTTTTCTTATAAGTCTTATTTGCACTGTTTTGAATCTGCAGGTTGGGGTTTTTCTCATTGAAAGCCACACGTATATCAAGAAACCCTTAGAGGAAGCTGAACACAACCTTCTCCATCAATGGCCTGGGGTCTCAGGCTCTAATATTCTGGAGAACATCTACAGGGTGGAGGCTAACAGATCTACATATTTCCAGCCATACAAGCTGATAGTTCAGCCAAGGTGACAAACTTTTTCTCTACTTCTCCTGCTTCATCGCACTTTCTTTTTTCTGTACCTCCTATTAGCGTACTGAACTTCAAATGTCGATGCTCTGTCAGGATGGTGGCGCAGATTCGGCGCCATTCGGTGCTCAGGAAGTTCGGAGAGCAGTTCAAGATCCCCCCAGAGCTGTGCCACGTGATCCACTGCCAGTCGGGCAATTCCTCCGCTCACCCGCCCGAAAAGATCCACGTGGACACGAGGCTGTGGGACTTTAACAACAAGCTGATCCCACATGTGAATGAGGTGCTGAGAAAAGCGGGTCTGCTGGGCTCACAGATGGCCAGCTGATGGATGAGGTGGACAAACACAGAAAGAAGAGGTGGAGGTATTTATAATGTGTGTGTTCACAAAAGGGCGGCTGTAGCTCAGTGTGTGGAGTGAGTGATTTCTCCATCCAAGGGTTGGTGGTTCAATCCCCAGCTCATATAGACTCTGTGCGTAAGTATCCTTGGGAAAGACACTGCAGCTCCAGCAGTTTGAGAAAGGGCAGCTATCAGCGGGTGAGTGTGTACTAATGGAGAGTTGAGCGTGAAAGGGTGAATGTGACATGCGCTGTAAAAGCTCTTTGAGTCATGAGAGGACTAGAAAAGCATCCATAAGTGCCGTCCATTTAACATCTAAGAGTTATTTCTACTGTATTTTTAGTTGGGCTTGCAGTATGGTTTCATTGATGGCAATAGTCCAAACTGAAATATCTTAAGCTCTCAAATTGCTTGCCAAGAAATGTTTCACTGATAGTCATGGTATCTATCACATAGAAGGACCTCAGTGATTCCCTGTCTTTTCAACTAGCATATGGACGGCACTCATATTTGTGCTTTGGACTTAACTGATCGACAGACAAGTTCCTGTTTTTAATTTTTCATTGTGGCTAAAGTTTTTAATACTTCTATCATCTGATTGTTTCAGGAAATATTAGACAGGGTTTTTTGACTTTGGTGATATTTTATCAGAGTTTCTAGAGTCATCATCAGGTCAAAATTTTACGTCATCATCATTATGACCATTGGCTGAATATATATAAGGACACTGTGCTTCCACCTCCACCCACTGTGGGAAGTGAAGCCAAAATAAAGCTGCTGTGTTTTCTATTGCAATACTGCAGGAGCCTCATTCGTCAGCAGAGCTGTCAATCATAATGTCACATCCCCCTTTTTTTAACCACCAAATAAGAGTTTAAAATTAAACCTGGACATTAATCAGATTGATATGTAACTTTCGCACTTTTTTCCTTTCTGTTCCCATGAAGGAGGCAGGCTTTAACACTCATGCTGCATTCAGTCTCTAGGGGGAGCTGTGCATGTTTTGGCTTTACTCAGGGTAGTTGTTGTTCCATCCACGATTTAAAGCAGCTTTTACTTATATATGATGAATTAATCTTGTCGCTACCTGATCCGTCCCAGAAACCTGATTTGTACCTCACATGTGCGAAACGTACGTCACTTCCTCTTCTAGCCATCTTTGAGACAGCCCAGCGATTCTTTGCCCCTCGTGGATTGCGACAGTTTCGGCACTTGTTTCGGCATCAGTGAGCTTGCTACAGTCAGTAAGAAAGGATGCTTCAGTTTATCGATGCTTCAGTTTATCACCAGCTACAGGCTATTCTTTTTTCCTGAACGGAGTGCTTCACCCGAGAGTGCCGGAAAGTCAAGAGAATGGCACCCAGTTTTACGATTAAAGGTTCCTACTTAAGCTAAATTGTAAAAATTCAACGTAGTTATAAAAGGCTTGAATGAATGTGAATATTTCAGTGTTGAAATTGTATGCTGTGTAAAAACACTGAAATTCATTTTCCATAATGTGTATGCTTTTTGTTAATAAATTTGATTTATAAAATAAATCCCCCCTTGATACTTTGAAAAGTCAGAGAGCAATAATTTTGACCGGGTACGGATCAGGTACGGATCAGGTAGGTAGCGACTCACTAAAATACACTCAAATGCCAAGAGAGGATATTATGTACATTTCGCACATGGGCAGTACAAATCTGGTTTCCGGGACGGATCGGGTAACAAAAAAACGGATGAAATGTACATCTCTATCAGTCAAAAATGTAAAAAGTGGTGAACACTTTATTCATGAACGTGTCAGGGTTGTTATCCATAAAGAGTTTGTAGCTTAACCCTTAATAAAGTCATCACTCTGCCTGAGACCAGCCTCATACAGCCACAAGCATAGCTTTAGGCTCTGAGTCTTTTATAATCAAGCTTCCAGCTCAAGTCCAAGCTTGTAGACTGTAATCTCTCCACTGTAATAATTTTAGCCTTTTTTAAGACCACCTTTAACCTGATTTGTCTCTTTGCTGTCGTTACAGTCAGTGTTTCTTCACCCCTCATGGCCCTCTGGGATCTCTGTCTCGCCCCGATGAAGTACATCCATTCCCATGAATCCATATTATTGATATTGCCGTAATAAAATCAACTTAATGCTTCTGGCCTGAGTGAGCATCGATTTAATGAGGATTCAAACGCTGATATATGTAAGTGTGAGTGGCATTATGCATGTTCTCTCAGATGGGTACAGCTTGCACAGAACACAAAGAGAAGAGAAACACTGGATGAATCTCACGTCACCTCACCTCAAGTGTCCTAGCGTATCGCCTTGAGAACAGACAGTCCCCTCATCGAGGCAAAGTAGGTGTTATTCACTCACTTTACTGGAGCTATATCACAAATTAAATTTATGCTGAATAGTTAGCATAAGTTCCGAGTTAATTAGATCATTTCTATTTGGTTCTGCCGTTTGCAGAACTTTGCTGTCTAGACTGGGCTTTTCTTCCTCGTACAGCAGGCAGGAGCTCTGGTCCGCTGATTTTGCACAGGACAGAGTGGTATTTATATTCCCCAGAGGACGTGAAGATCTGCTAACATTTACAAAGCTGCACTCATGCTGCAATTCTCTTTTAATAACCTGCCTCGACACCAATGAGACAGATGAATGGCTTTATGGTCCTTTAAAACCCTGATGCAGAATATTTTGCATGTACGCATGATTTACAAAAAGGTGGGATTTTACCTCTTACACGTTAATCTTTTTTCCTGTATTTAAAAAAAGGTCAGTTATGCCAAGTTACTTTGATTGAATATGTTGTGGAACCCTAAAACCCACAGGAACTGGTTAGTTTTCATTATGGATAACACTTTTGGCTTGCCATGCAGAAAGCAAGTTGCATATGCCAGGAGCATAATGAAACTATAACTCAGGCTGTTGAAGAATTGTTGTAATTTCCTCACCACAGCAGTCTCACTCACAAGAGCCTCCTTTGACCTTTAGGGTGGATTATCATGTACAACATGCAGAACAAAGTGTTAGGACTTTGCGTTATTATGGCTGTCGTTGCAATGATTGGCTGCCCACACTGAAGTTGTTTTTGGACAAAATACAATTTGGATTACTGTTTTAGGCTGCCTGAAAGTCCTCCTCCCACAATGCATTATTCTGAAAACACTGCTTTGCATAGAAAAAGGCAAGTAATTGAACACACAGAGCATGATCATGTTTTAGAGTTAAATGTAATTTCACAGAGCAAACATGTATATTTACTAGAGTCCTATCTGTCATACAGCATCACAGAATTAGCTTGTCCTTTAAAACTTGGATCAAGTACCTGAGTACATTTCTACACAGTTTTTTTAGTTGTTATCAAGAATTTTAAAGTGACATTCCGGTGTAAAATTACCAACTCTAGCCAATTACCAACTTTAGTGACGACCACATGATAGCAATACACAGCAGTCTGAGGAGCCATCAACAAACCTCAACCAAAACGCCACTCTATAGCCACAAATAATGCTCAGAACAGCACCTAACTTCAACAACAGTACATATAGGGTCCCAGTCATAGTACTAGCCACCAAACATCTTTTTAACTTTGACTAATTTCTTTAGCAACGAGACTAAACACAACTCACCTACTCTCTTCCAGCAGCTGCTTGTTTGTAGCGAGACCTCGGGCCAGTCCATTATGGACTACAGTGGGGTGTCACAGCTCAAGGAAGAACATTTATGATCATTTCTTCATGGAAATGCAATCAGACCGAGACACTAAGACAGAAAAATTACCGCATCTGCAGTGCAAAATTATAATTATGGTGATTATTACTTCAAGGAAATGATAAAGTGATGTCTTTTACATAATAATGTAGTAATTTTATGCCAGAATATCCCTTTTAAGTTGCATATTGAAGCTCCTGTGTGAAGTTTTTTTATGTTTATGAAATAGATTGAAATTCATATTGATGTTATTTATGGTATAAAAAATCAAATAAGACTTATTAGTGAGAAGACTGATAAAGAAACAGCCCTGTTTTTTATAATATCCATCTAACATGTTTACAATTAATAATTCATTTAACTCCAAAAATTCAGCAGGATGAGAGATGTACCTTCATAATCTTGATTTCTTCGATAAATGCTGCTCTGCTACTGCAGTGTGGTCTGAAACTGTGACTCAGAGGCAGGAAAGCTCTCCAAAAGAGCTCATTCTGTGAAACACTGTTTCCTGTTATTCTTTGAAAGAATAACTCCGGGACTATAAAGCGTATTACTGGTCTCAAAGTGCCAGCCTCCTCAGACTACAGTCTCCCATCATGTTGACTGGCCTGCAGCCAGTTGCCGCCCGTTCAGCACGCGGTCCAGTTACTGTAACTTCTCCAATTTGATTTCCACCACAGGTCTGTGGTGGTTGGCTCTCCGCCAGCTTATGTGATGCAGTTACGGGGGGGTGACATCAGTCTGATTATCCGCTCCTGTGTTCCTCGCTCGTAGGTTATAGCTTGAACTGAAAGAACAATCTAACAATTTAATCCAGTTTGAAACCAAATGCATACAAACTTGTCTGGGGGGGTTTAAAAGTAAATGTGCCACTTTAGAGCATAATTGTGTTATCTTCATTTTGGTGGCGGCAGAAAGCAGGAAGGTGCTGCGGCGGCTTAACTACAGTGCGCCAAAAGGGACAATACAGCACAGGATGAAAATAGATTTGTTAATTTTGGGCGCTCCATTGAACCCTGATGAACATGTTCACACTGACAGCCCGAGTATTTACCTTCTAATTGCATTATCAACGACCCATTTTTAAGACTTACTCATTAAGACAGGATTATGGGTTTGGGTTCAGGGTACAGAGTTGAGAGTGTACAGAGAGACGGATCAATCTGTAACCGGCTTTGTTTTGGGGGTTTTGTGCATTAGGGGAGATATTTTCATTTTGGGCTCATCCTGGCTTGTTACAGCATCAGTTCCAGGAGACGGTGTAATTTAGACGAATCAGATTTGGAGTGATTCAT